ACTCGAGTAGCGACGCCTTCCGAGATCGATTTTTCATTATTTTTAACTATATCATTTGATTTTATCATTGCGTTACTGTCGATCGATTATTACGGAAAGCAAGGAAACGAAACTTTTCTATACGTTCAGACATTAGATTCGCATCATTACATTTACACGTAATTTCTCTGTATTTATCGCACGTGTCAAAGTGACGCAGGAGTCGAACTAGGGTTAATTCGTTTGATTTATGATTTCTACGAATCACGAGGTAGGACACACTTTAAATCGCCGCATGATACCAACTAATCTCATACGTTGTATTCTCCGCTACAATTTTATTTTTAAGAAACTAACATTTTTTCAAAGTACACATAACTCGTACAGAATCCAGATTGCTATCGTCAGTAGCATTTTTCAAGCGTAACATATTCACATGTTTGTATCGTAGATTCCATCGCGGAATGAATCAGAGGTTTGAACAAAATCCGCGTTATTTTCTATGAAACAGCAACGCTGACATTTAATTTATGGCGCTTCCGGGTTCTCCGTACAGTATGTTAGACGTGCACAGAGTAATAGAATTAAGGTGTGCGATGGTAGAGGGAACGATGACCATGGTAGGAAACTGAAAACCCTAGCCCATAAAACTTCTTAGCAGCTGGCCTTGAAGTATGAATAGATTGCCCGTGAAGAGTGCATTGCTCCGTTGCGTAACTGAGCGCGTGTTATTTGCAAGTTTCTTCTCGACGTAGAGCCTGTGGACGTAGTGAATTAATATCTCGTTCTTAAGCTAATGGGATTCGTTTAACATGATCCTACCACTGATTGTTTGGTTATAGTGAACAGTGATGTTCATTGGCTTGCTTCGAAGTTTCGATCTTCGTTTCATTATATAAACAAAATTTAAGAAATTTTATTCATTCCAAATTAAACTTCTTTCTAATAAGCTGTTTGGCTATAGTTGTAACGATGTAACGACGCAGTTACGATAAATATATAATTTTGAAAGAGACAGGCGTCTTTCTGTTGAGAATCTTGATTTAAAAAGCTCGAGAGACGGAAATCTCGAGTGAAATGGTTTATCCACGTGTTGCAATGTATCTAACATTGATATCGCATAATTTGGGTACGCTATTTTCGAGATTAAAAATTTTGCAGCAAATTTCGAGCGATAATGGTGTACCGATTCGGTTTAGAAACTTACTCGTTCAACGACTGAGATCGACATACAATCACAGACTTACTGTTAAGATGCGTACTTGATTACACGTGTATTTTTTTACATGTCTCGTTCTCTAACTACTATAAAGAGTATTTTATTCTAGATATTTTATACATTTTTACATGTTTTCTACGTTCACATTTTTAAATATTTAAATTTTCCATTAGCGTATAAACACTCACATAGCATTTCGACAAAAAGTATATGTTGCATCGGCGTTTCTAAATAAGATAATAAGTATGTTTAAAAATAGATGACAAGTAACGTCCTGGACCTAAATTTTACTGAACCACGGTGTTTAATGTTTGTTATAGTAATATCTGAGTCATATACGCCAATAGTAATACATTTTTAAAAAAGATTGTATACTTTATTGAGCGCCAAAGTTATTCATTCCATGGCGTGTGAGTCAGCAGTGACCCACGATAGTTACAAAAGCTAGATGAACGAGAATATTCTTATGTATATTACTGAAGCAAGATAGGTCTAAAAGAAAGTAAAAGCGCAAACAATTCTTTCAATATGCTATTTATTTTTAATTTAACTAAAATACGAATTATCTTTCTGACAAAAATCTTTATGCAGTACAAATAGTAACCATTGATACAATATTAATTTCAGTATAGCGTTTAATTTTCTTGCACAATCCTTTCAAATCTGTTGAGAAACATCATGATTGAAGTCCTGTTTCTTCTACATAATCGTATTTTCGTTCCTTTCTTCTCTCACAGAAACTATTCTTTTGATGCAAGATCGAACTTTCCAAAATTAAAAATCTGCTAAAGGAAAAAAGAAAGACCGCGATCGCAATAAAGTTAAACAAAAATTGTAAATACGCAATATACGTAGAAAGTACGTAAGATAGAGACATAAGATAGAGAACAAAAGAATTGTAACTCTTTAAAATGCACCACTATATCTCGAGAAAGAAGATATCATACGCAAAAAGAGTATTATCGTATTATTGCGCCGTTCGTAGATCGTAGGAGTGTCTGAAAGATTCCAAGCTGAAACACATCCGCGTCTTATTTTCGCTGCGTTGATCCACACAAAGGATGCGGGAATGCCAGGCACATGTTTCCGGGTCCTGGTTACGAGCCGCTGGCATAAGCTACGAACACGCTACGCAAAACGCCCACACACGCACACGCGACTCGGTCGTTGGCCCCTGCACACCACACATCTAGGATATATATTTGGCTTGGATACCTGTAACGATACACAGCTTGCTATATTTGGCAGGTTGCAAATATTGTAATCTTTGCGTTTCTATACTTGATACAACACAGCCGATTATTCCACCATCTGCAATCGTATTTAACATTATTTAATGGTACTTTTTGATCAAAATCACTATGATATTGTTCGTCGAAGAAAAATGTTTATCGTTTTTATCGTTCACAGTGAAAATGAAAGTATATTTTGATATCGAAGCTGATGAATTTTATCAAGAGATTCCTTTCATTCGTTCTTTTTCTTTCTTTATGCTAAAGGATCGTAATATTTGTCGATCTATTATTCCAAGATTTTCTAATATTTTTATCGCAATTTCTTACCAAACTTATTTCTTACAAAATATGCGATATATTTTTATTGCAAAATACGCGAAAATGTAATAAAACTTAAATTTGAACACTTAATTGAATATGCTTGAACTTGTGGATTATAATTATTATTATTGTCAACCTAATTGAATGTTTATAACGTTCAGGTTGTGGGATGATCCAGAACACACCAAATATGGCAAATTTTTCAGTATCGCTCTACTTCAAAATCACAGCATATATTCAGTTTGACGATTCCTATGATTTTAGTTTCTATCGATGGTTACAGAGTCATAAAAAAATAGGAGTTAGTTAAATAATAATGGAATTTCGGTGTCATTTGCATACACGTGGAGTATAAGAAGCAGCTCTCGAAGGGGTTCGGAATTTGTTCTTTTTTTCAACCAATCTTCGAATGTCAAGGAGTCTCAAAGAACTTGATACGCTTTAGTTAGGTGAACCATTCCGAAAGGCAGGTGGTTTCGGCCACCTGGTCGGCCGTTCTTGCGTCTTTTTTTCCTTCTTGATTTCCTTATTCCTAGGATATCGTGTTATTGCGTCTCCTCTCATCTTCCTCGGTTCCTGCATAACCATCCTTCCACAAGGTTTTCGAGGAGTTCATCAGGTGCTTATATCACAGACGGAAACAAGTTTGTACAAGGCTAATCGAACATTGTTGATTATTCATTACGCTGTACATAATTTCATTCGTACTTCTGTTGCATAAAAATTGTGATTAAAACAAAAGCATATAGATACATATGTATAGCATTGACGACGAGTAAGGAATATCTTGAACGTTTCATATTAGTTCAACAGAATGTTCAACTAGTTTTCAACAATAAGATTTCAGAATTTTACCGAGTTTCGCTAGACTCTGTGAATTTCATATAACCGCTATACCATTTTCTGAAATAAACAAATTTCGTATCGATATTTCTATATCCAACACGTATTGTTTTTAGCCTCAAAAATTTGAATTATTCTCTAAATCGTGCAAAAAATTCGTTTCTTTACGTCTCAATTAGTTTTAATATCATCTCGATCAACTTAACCAACCTTCCAGCGTAAAAAGTGAATTCATTGAAACTTCATTGAAACGCGGATGGTTGAAAAGCGATAACGCATCGCATAACATCACGAAACATTTATGTATCAAAAAAATTCTCAATTTCGTTTCCCTTTCCTTCTCTGAATTCAAGATAGACCGTACCCTATCTGACCTAAACTAACGACAATCTGGAGGATGAAAATATATGTACCTCACGGATTTGTCGTTACAACCTATGCGGCGCCATATTCGTTGAACGCGCACCGATATCGTATTACGCGCACGTTACACTTGCGCACGTGAATTGTAAATTACGGAAGATCGTGTCCAAGGATGACCTACATAACCAACGGGCTGCAAGAAAGGGCATCGGCGTCAAGCTGGCGCTGCCTCCTCGGTTCCTTTATGCTCGCTCGCGAAGGGAAATACAGAGCGAGAGGAAAAAAAAGGGTTTGACAGTCATCACATCCTTTGCACGCCAAAATTCCCGCGGTCCTGCGGCTGTGCTATGAAAACCGTGAGAAAAAGAAAGAAAAGAATAGTACAGAATAGAAACACACGGCTAACGAAAATCGAATAGTTCTTGAAAAACACGCGTAATTCAGTAGTATGCAAAGCGATCGTCTTTTGTCGCTCACGCGGTATTATCTTACCAGATACAACGGTCATGTGGTTTAAATTATCGAAATTTAGAAATTGTATAGTGCGTTTAAAAAATTGGTGCGGTATAAATTGGAAATTTACGAAGGCATTCTATGAATGTTTAGGGTTTATTAATGGAGAATTATCTGAAACTGCCTGTAGAGTTCTATCATTTTGGTTTACTAAAGTCGGTACCATATAGTTTCTAATATAAATGAATCTTAAATTTCAATAAATCTAAAAATTTCAAAATTACGAATAATCTTCTGATCTCGTGTAACGATAGCATGAAAAGTCGCCCGATACAAAATATATATTTCATTTATTATACTTTTTTCCTAATCTAATTCTTTATGTAAAAAAGTTCAGATTAAACACTTTTATGCAAGACAGTCATTATCATCACATTGCTATTGAAACGAACGAACTTTCCAAAAGGGAGGAACCTTAAACTTCGAAGTAGGTAGCTTAAACGAATTTCCGAAGCACGCCACGTATCTCGAGTATAATATTATGAAGAAAGTTGTCTAACGAATCTGTATTGTTGCGTGTGTTTCAGGAGTAACGTTCAAGGCACACAGGTTAATCCTCGCAGCATGCAGCAAACACTTTCAAGAGCTCTTCGAAGGAATGCCTCCTTCTCCCGCGGGACTGATCGTTATTCTCGACGGGACGAGTGCCCACAATATGGCGTCCCTTCTCGAATTCATGTACCGTGGAGAGGTCCACGTGTCCCAGGAATCCCTCAGCTCTTTCCTCAAAGCAGCCGAATGCCTTCAAGTATGCGACTTATTTCATCTCTTTTGAAATAACTGCCCTAAATAGCAGTCATGTGTTTGAAGCGCGAACGCGCACCTTGCATACTTTCGGGGACCGTCTTTTTATTTTTGGCCGCGATTAATGGCCAAGAGTTCCTGTTTTCGAAGCGAGAACACGAAGCTAGACTATGTCGATTTTCGTTGGAGCAATTTAGTAGATCGTGATATCAATATATTATCGTCGATTATAGCATCGTTCGAGATATTTCTTGTAAAAATATCTTTGTTCTATAATAATATGTACAACTGTTTTCCGTTTCTATTATTTTGACATGTTAAGATTTTCTTACCGAAAGATTTGTAAGTTGGTAGAATTATCCTACAATTTTATCTTCTACTTCGATCATGATATTCTACTGTAGTTTAATTATTGCTCGTTGAAAACTTCAAAGCGATTGATAGGCTATCTAGATTTTTTGTAGCGCATAAAAGAAAACGGTCTCTTTACAAAGAAGGACGATTATACCTCGTTTCTAATTTATATTCTGCAAACTTCTAGTTTATACCTTATAATTGAGCTGTTAACAATGACAAAAATTGAGTTCAGAAAACTGGGATAAATGGCCACGTCTATGTAGAACACATGTACGATTTTACCTGTGGCTGGATCAATTGCCGACCTTGCTTAACGCTTTCGTCGAAAATCGTAAATTCTAATCTCTAACTGATTTTACAACCTTGCTATATCGCATCTGTCAACCGTAAAATCGTTAAATCGTCAATCTTGTTGAAATTACAGGTAAAGGGTCTGTCTATCGAGCACGAGAAATTGGCAGTAGCGCAGAGGCACGCTGCGGAGAACAATAGCTCATCGACGGACGCCGGGGATGGCGGAGGTGGTAGCAATGGCGGTGGTAGCAGCGGTAGCGGAGACAACGGAAGCGGGAACGTGAGCGGAAGCGTCAGTGGAAATGGTAACGCAGCTGGTGGTGCCAGCGGCGTCGGTGGAGGAGTTGGCGAAGTGAGCGATATGAGCGAAGCGGGCGAGGCAACCATGGTGAGAAACACCATGAAGAGGACCCCCACACCGGTACCTTCGCCCGCTCCTGCTTACACCGTGCCCAGCCTCTATTCCACTACCTCTCACTATTACGAAAGTCCGCCGAAAAGGCTGATGAGGTAAGCCCTTTTACCGCACCGCGAAGGACTCGCACGCATGAAATTTTCAAACAGAATTGCCATGACCTTCCTACCACGTCTAACGACTAAGATATCGAGAATCATGCCTCGCATTCCGTTGTATCTGCGATTAATCGTCGTTCCGTACGGTTTACTCTTTGATGAAATATAATAGACAGCCATTATATCGAAGAATGTATGGATGTACTTACATTAGGAAAGAATTGTTGGATTAGGTGTTAGGTAACACGCAGTATGGTTTAGGATGTTTCGATGTAGCTTTTTCCAAAGTGCCCATTTTGTTAGATTTCGTCGAGCTACTACTAATATGGTATCGTTAATTAAATTAACTCATAACTGGAATCGTTAATCTTGTTTTGGTTATGAAAGCTCCTATATTCTCATTTCCTACGTATCTTTTCATTTCTGTGTCAACGATAAACTATATCACATATCACGCGTAAGAACTGGAATTAGGTAAACTGAAATTGATTGTCAATTTCTTAATTATAGAAGCTTATAATCAAGGAATGATCCAGTTAAAATATTAGATAGCGAAAGGAAAATTATATTCTTCTAAAAATGAAGTTTGGTTGTTTTTCCAGTTGGATAAATCCTTCTTTAAAGTTTGTAAGATATGGAAAATGATTATCGAGGGATCAAAGTCTGATATAATTCGTCGCTATAGATTGCCTAGACTTTGTGAAATTGTTAAGCATACTTTCACACGATATCGAACGTTTTTTGGGGATATTTTTAGATCGCCCAGCGACGTCGATACCTTGGGAAGGGCGAGCGTGTTGCGCGATGGCACTGCCTTCCGGCCCGCATCAGCGCCACATCCGCTTCTCCTGGAGAACCACTTCTACCAGCCGTTCATCTACCCTTCAGAAACGCCCGCACATCCCCACACCGCACCTCACACACCGACAGAATTGGAACAAGAATTGGAACGAGCGAGGTCCGAGGAACGTAGCAATTGCGATCTCAAAGAAAGCGTAGCCGAAGGTTGGCCATTTTTTAAATAACTCATCTATCTATGCGTATTTCCATGCGTTTACAAAATTTTTATTTCAATTTTTGTCTACATTCCGTTTCGTTTCACAAATATAATATTACGATATTATAATAATATAATAAACAATATAACGATATTATAACGTAATATAAATTAGATCGAGAAAAGTTTTTAGGTATTGAGAATTCAAAGATTATTTTGTCATAATCGATCATATTCCTTATTTTATTGTATAATTTCTGTGTTTATAAAACTTTAACAAATTGTTTGGTCTTGTGTGCGTAGATCTTCGAATAAAGCAAGAACCAGTGGCGATGACCGATCGGGAAAGGGCAGAAAAATTGGCAGAGAGATTGTCAGGTGAGGTTTATTCCGGTGGAAGGGGGTTCGATGGTGGTCATTACGGTTCAAATTCGGACCACATTCAACACGGGGGACAAGTTGGCCACGCCATAGTTCCCCTGCCGCCCGCTCATCCGCCGACTCCTGATCTCAGTCCTGCACCCACCACTCCTGCTATGTGGAATACGAAAATTAACAAGGCTGGCACTGTTTCCACTCCGGATGGTAAGTCTGAGTTTATTCATTCCTTAGTCTTGATATAATCAGAACATTTTGTGCAAAACTCAAGCAGAAAATGAAATACAGGAGAACATCGACGAATAGATATTTTAAACAGATAAAAATAGAAATGGTCATAATAATTAACTAGAAAAAAGTACAACTGCCGATTATTAGTTAATAATCCGATGCTTGAAATTAAAGATTTTCGCGGAAAGAATATGCCAGTGTAGACTTTGAACAGCGGATCGTGTGTAACAGTTTGAGTTATTGTTTCGAGCATCGTCGACTACAGAAGTTTACCAAACTTTACGTAAACGTACCACGTGGCTTTCGATTCACAACCAGCGCGAATAACACTCTTGTGTAAACGATTACACGAACCCGTTTCGTGTAAGAATATTTCTTCCAAAAGCAAAGATCTCATTCAGCTAAACAGGAATGTACAGAGATGTAAGATATCCCGAGCCAATCGATGATACACGTAATTAAATGTACATAATTAAAAAAAGAGAATAAATAAGATTCAAATTTTACTTTAAATATTTTCAGCTCGAATATTATAAGTTTTATATCATGTGTCGTAGTATGCGTCTGTATCGTATTAGAATTTCTAACTTCACGTTGGGTGTGCTAAGGGTTAACGAAGGCGAAACCTTCTATCTGGGCCAATGCGTTGCCAGGAGGCAAGGCCTTTCAAATCTAATGTTACAAAATGCACGGTTAATCGTTGCATCATCGGTTGCACGTGGAGCTTTCTTGATGTTGCAACTCGTGCCTCTCGTCGCCCCCTTCCAATACCATACTTCGTCTGTCACGAGGCGATTTGGACGATGGTTTGAGTAATAAGACGAACAAAGTTGCTATCTCGGGGTATCCTTGAAATCGAAATTCTCAGATTTATAAATTTATTAGATTGTACTAAAGAACTTCTTCGTACGTGAAATACCTGTTCTTAAGTATTGCAAAAATAAATGAAAGATTCTTCAAACGATACCTGAAACGAAAATAAAGTAAACCGAAGGAAGTATCATTCTCATCAACATCTCGAATAATCACACTTCATTCTTTACACTCACTGACCAAAATCTCCCAGAAATTCATAACGAAAGCCGACTCCTTAATAACATCCCGAATGCCTCGAAAAGAACGAAAGAGCCTTTAGAGTTGCGAAGGCTCTGTTCGATCGAACCTTCTCGCGTGAACCCCCGGTCGCTGGCTGGAAGGCTAAAAAATTATTTTCAGAAACTCGACAGTCGAGTCGCTCTTAAATGTCACCGCGACGTCAGCGTGGTGCTGTCGCGATGTTGTATCGACGGCCCTCGGCGCAACAGCGATACCACATCATCGTCCTCGAAAATTTCGCTCCCTCGCTCCCTTCCACTCTCTTTCTCGCTTGGCCAGTGGTATTTTTTACCTCGGAGATGATCCTCCGCTGGACGGTGGGGTCTAACGCGCAAAAAGAGAGCAACGACAACATCGGCGACGACGAGAACCGTCGTTAGGCAGGATTTACGTATGCCGATGGACGCCCACCCGACTGACGGAACATATTCTACCTTAGAACGAGACCGGTTGCCTCGCCTTCACGGTGTGAACAAAGTGTACAAAGAGGATGCAGGCGACGGTGCAGCCACTGGGAACATCTTTTGCTCCGGCGAGCAAATCACCAGGCGTATG